AGCAGCGATGGCCTCCAACCTAGAAGCGATGTCCTCCAACCTAGAAGTGATGGCCTCCAACCTAGAAGCGATGGCCACCTAACAGCGATGGCCTCCAACCTACCATTCAGACTTTGTTGAGTAACTATGTAATTCAAAGCAATCTGACTTAGGCGAGCATGCGGCGATGGTGGTTGAGGGCATGGTGTGCCTTGGACCAGTGGTGGTTGAGGGCAGGGTGTTGCAAGACCGTTCCCGGGAACGGCACGAGACGCCAAACGGGTTTTTCTAGATGGTGGACCAGCTGCGCAGGTTCGGTTGTTCTATGGTGTTCTTTCCTAATCACTTATGGATAGCATGAAGTGAGCAAGTAAAGACAGAAAGCCGGTGTTGTAAACAGAGGCTTGGGCGCTCGCTCAAGTGAGTTCCGTTGTTTGTGTGTTTCAGGACCTGAGGGTGACCGATCTGAACGACCTCGGTCCAAACACCCCCACGACCAGGGACAACGACACATCCGCTCCACTCGAGGTCGCTGACTTTGAGCATGTCCTTCTTGGTGCTGTGCTTTTGGGCGGCCTACAAGGCACCCAGCTGGTCCTTGGAAAAACAAGCGGCAGCCAAGTTCCTCTTTGTCGACTTCCGGCCGGACCATTGGTGGCCACTAGACGCAGTACGGGGGAGACGGGGCGTCGGATACGGGGCGCAAGAGAAGCGCGGAACCCACACGTCGTCGCGGTGGTGTGTGTCCCGCCCAAAGCCAGTCTGAAATCTGGGAAGATCTTACAATCCCAATCATAACCTTACCCTAGAAGTCAAAAGAAAACCACCAAAGTACAGGATTCCTGCTCAGGTCATTCTATTCTAAAGACCATTTCTGAAATAGTCGATGGACTCCGGCTTAAGAAGCTTCAAGAAATGCGGCCCAAACTGTCGGATCCTGACATATCCTGACGGGTCCTGAGGTATGGTGGCCTCTTACTCTTTCGAGACCTCCTTCTCTCGCTCCCCTCCGTGATCGCGCCCAACTCGGCCCACGTGCAGCTGGTCTTGCTGCATGCCTTGATGCTCGGTCAAGTGCAAATGGATTGATGCCACACTATTCCATTGGGACCGTGACCGTCTCGGACATGTGGTGACGGGAGAGGTATCAAAAAAAACATAAATAGGGATCAATAAAAAAATAAATAGGGATCAATAACAAAACAAATAGGTATCAATAAAAAAATAAGTAGAGATCAAGACAACAACAAGCAGGGATAAAAAGAAGCAATAGAGAAGAGAGAAAGGAAAGAAAGAAAGAAAGAAAAAAAGAAAGAAAGAAAGAAAGAAAGAAAAGAAAGAAAGAAAGAAAGAAAGAAAGAAAGACAGAACAACAGAAAGAAAGAAAGAAAGACAGAAAGAAAGAACGACAGAAAGAAAGAAAGACAGAAAGAAAGAAAGACAGAAAGAAAGAAAGAGAGAAGGAAGGAGGGAAAGAAAGAAAGAAAGAAAGAAAGAAAGAAAGAAAGACAGACAGAAAGAAAGAAAGAAAGAAACACAGAAAGAAAGAGCGAAAGACACAAAGAACGAAATAAATTGAAGTAGACATTGAAGTAGAGCAGTGCTTACATGAACTGCTTGCAGGACGCATTATAGGCAATATTCAGGTGAGAGCTAGGAGCCATTCGAAGGTAGCAGACCTTTTTGTGAGCCACCTGGAGGAGGGAAGCGGCCATTCCAAGGTAAGCCTTCCGAGGGCAAAACTTGGAGGAGGAAGGCGTCAGTCCTTTTGTGAGCCGCCCAAGAACCAAATTTAGAGGAGGAAGGAGCCACGCCAAGGTAGCGCGCCTGTGGCTCACAAAGGAGGCAGGCGCCAGAGCGGGCAAGGGAGTTATTTTTTTGAGCGCGCGAGTGAGGTGTGTGCATTGGCGTCGTCATAATTCAGTAGGCGGCGCGTGCTGCCGAGATCGCTTACTCAAGTCAGCCAGTGAGTTGCAAGCCAACCCCGACAAAGACCGCTGAAAGTTAGAGAAACAAATATCAAGAACGCCCAGACACAACCAACTGCACACACCAACGATCTTTGCAATATGACCAGCAACACCAAACCCATTCCAGAGAAAGAGAAGACAGAAAACAGACAGAAGAAAAATCAGCGCGGACCTGTTAATTCATTGTGGTTTGTTTCTTTCATTTTTGACACTGTCTTGCCCGCTCTCACTCCTCCTGCAGTTAAGAGTTAAGACCGGCATGGCGTAACAGGGCCCGATTTCAGACCGGCATGCCGCTCGCGTGTGCGCGCAGAAAGCAACTCGCTTGTACGCGCGCGCGTTGGAAGAGTAGGAAGCCTTCACCATAATGGCTGCGCCGGCGCACACTCCCACTTGCATCAAGATCATGTGTCTGCCACGCACGCAGGAGCAGATTGCGCATCTTCAAGGCGTCAGGTCTTCCAGGGCTTCTGGTTTTCCCAGGGTTACACCGGACATTATATCGGGTCGAAGAGGCTTGAAGACGTATTTTGCGCCCCGAAAGCTTCCTACATCCTTTGTTATCATAGAGACTTATGATGACCGTGCGTGGAAAAAGATCAGAATTCCTGCTCAGGTCACTGAGCCATTCCCATGTAAATATACCTTTTGTGAGCTTCCCGAGAACGAGCGACAAATTCAGCGGAGGAAGCAGCAAGTCCAGTGTAGCATAGTATCTTCTGTGAGGAACCCGATGCTACTACTGCTCCCACAACACGGCTACGACTACCACGACTACTACTACTACTGCTGCTGCCGCTGCTACTACTACTGCTACTACCTACTACCTACTACCTACTACCTCCTACCTGTTACCTACTACCTACTACCTACTACCTAGTACCTACTACTTACTACTACTACTACTACTGCTACTACTACCACTACTACTACTACGACGACGACGACAACGACGACGACGGTCACTACTACTGTTGCCACTGCACACATTACTGTTCTTTCTTTGTTGATTCTTGTTTGTTTTGTTTTTGATCCTCGTCTGTCAATTGTTTTTGTTATTACGTCACCAGATTTTGTTTTTTTGTTGATCCTTATTAATTTTTCTTTTGATCTCATTGCTTTATTATTATTTTGATCCTTATTTGTTTTTTTTGATCCTCCACCCTGTGGTGTGGTGACCGTCTCGGCCATCGAAAACCTTACCGAATCATACCTGCCCACCTCGGTGGCCAATTCCAATGGAGACACCGGGCCGGGCCGTTTTGGACTGAAAGACCAACGCTCGGCGGTTGGGCAGATGTTCGACCGAGAGGACTGGTGGGATGATGTGGGAATTTGATCGGTTGGCTATGGTTGGCTTAGGATTCTGATCTCAGCCGTGATGCAAGCCTATTTCCAGCCGCGGAAGACCCCTGCAATGAATCTGGTGGTGACGGCCGCTGTTCGGTGAATTTACGGCGGGTGAAATGGTTCTGTGACCGACCCATGAACGGTTGCAAGGACTGCAGCCTCCCAAAGCTGAAAAAGAAGGTCCAATTGAATGAAGAAAACATAAGAAAACACATCAGGATTATTTTGTATGGTTGAGTGGTTGAGGGTGATGAAAAGGGTGCATTCTGAGCAGACATTTAGTGATCATGTGTTGGACAGTCGATTTGCAAGATCATTAAATTATCATTCATTAAGTAAGCAACTCTGAAAGAAGTGAAACACGAAGGTCCGAAACCGTCCCCGTAGCTGTCTAGGGTTAAACAATCCCCTCGCCAGATTGATCTTTTAGACAATTCGAGCATATGTAGAGGCTGTAGAGGTCTTTCACCTTAGCCCTAGACGTCCAATCAGTGCTTTCGAGGGCGCTTATTTGAGAAACTGTTTAACGCATTTTCAAGCGATAGTTTTGTTTTTGAACAAGGATAAGATCCTCCTAAGTGAGAAGCCTATGTGGAGGACAGTTTGAGCCCAACATGTTTTCAATATGGGTTGCGCATACACATGTGTACAGCCAGTAGCCAGTATGTACCAGCTTTACACTGAAGTCATAGATCATTCGGTATCCATGGTGCCCTTCTTCCGAAGCAATGTGGACTGTGATTTGAGAGTGGTTCGAGCGTGACTGGCTAGTTGAAAGTACTTCAAGCATGATCCGAAGGTGATAGCATAGCTGGATGTATGTGACCAATTTGCTGCTTGCAGGACTTGAACTTTGCCCGGCATGTTAATTTGAGTTCCTTTGAGAATTGAACTTGAGGCTGCCACAGTGGAAGATGACATGCAAGACTCCCATATATTTACTATTTAGATACGTACATACCTATCTACCTACCTACATAGATAGATAGATAGATAGATACATAGATAGATACATACATACATAGATAGATACATACATACATACGTACGTACATACATACGTACGTACATACATACATACATACATACATACATACATACATACATACATAC